ATGAAAACGGCGAACTTTACCATCCCATTTTGTGGCATTTTTTGTCTCAGAATTTCGGTCTGAAGCACCATCCCCGTGGAAATAGCCACAAATTGGGGGTAGACTAACCATCTAACCATTGGTTATCCCATTAATGTTAATACCACGCATAAAAATGGTAAGTCATTGGGGTTGTGGATCCTATTTCTTTACTAACATTCTCCCATTATATCAAATATATATATATATATACACAGTAGTATATATATATAATTATAATATACAGTATACGTATATATATATATATATTCCAGATATATCACCTATGAAAATCGCCCACCTCTCAGCTGGGCTTTGAGGCAGCAGCGTTTGGAGGCTCCTGACCTCTCAGATACATCCAAGATGGCGGCGGAAAGTCGCAAGGATCCGGGGAGCTGAAATGATCCGGGGAGTGCTTCAACTGCCCGAAATGGAATAAACACATGCATATATATATATATATGCATATCTTGGTAAGTATCCGTATTTGATGTTTATGATGATAAGTTATCATTTGTGTTTTTATCGAAGTGTTCAGCGCGATCCTACACTCCTACTAGTTTGGTTGGAGGGTTATGGCAAGCATAGTTGAAACTTCACCCAAATCCTAACTTACGGGAGGTCATCCAGTTTTGTTTTGAGACATTTTGACAAATACAGGTGGCACTTGCTTGTGCCATATTGGAATCATGGAGTCCTTTCATCATTGCGTTTCTTTGCTATTCTTGAGCACAAATATATAGCTATGGCTATAAGTGCTCGATCATCCGTTTAGTTCGATGATTTTTCCAGCCATAAACCAGCATTTATGATCATTTATGACCATTTATGGGCTATCTCTCAGCCATCTTAGGCATGTCTTGTTTAGTCATAGGACTCCGTTCGTTACTTCGTCCTGCAAGGAAGTGCTCGCGCTGTTGGATGCCATGCAAGAAAGTGGGGTCGGCTGAGATGGTTACTGAATCGGGACACGTAATTGACCAGTGGATGGTTGAACATCCCCCGAGATTCTCAGACACTTCCGTAAAGCTCTGCTCTGACTGGCTCTGACCAGCGTTTTGTGGGTAGGTGCCTCCAACATGGCAATGATAGCCATGAAACACCACAGATTTGATCGCGTTGCACATGACTTTTCTGATTGCTGGGAAACTGCTCATGCTCAGGATTATCAGCCTAACAGATGATTTCGATGTATGGCTCAGTTCACTCTGATATGATACTAGTCACACCAAGATAACTGGTGTAGCTCGATTTTTGTTCCCCCTATTGGTGTTCCTTCCCAATCGATGGTCCTGGCATGGACCATCTCCATTTCACTAACCTTTCAGCCATTGGCTTTGCCCAAAAATGGCTTACAGATGGCCATAAATTGGGGCGAAATCTCAACATCCTGCGCCGCCAAGATGTGAACCTCGCGGTAGAGGAGGCAGCGAAATTCAATCGATACCAGGAGGTGTTGAAGTTAGAGCTGGTACACTCAGTGCTGGTGGGACAGTTGATGGTGCATCATCATTCTTCCCGGTAGAAATGGCCATACCTCGGGGAGGGCAACTCCCCCATTTTCAGACACATCTAAAGATCGTATATGGCTGGTGATATTTTTGAAATTATATCGTATATCCAGTGATATCCCCACCATCATCATCAGAAAAAAAATCTTGGTTTTATGATAAATACTATGCCAACCCCTAAAAGATAGAAAAGAACATTATATATCTCACTATTCTATAGGGATGTTGCCAAATTCTATCTTTTAAGGGCAGCAAAAACAAGGCACGTGGTAATACCCAGTTTTTTTTGGTGTTTCCAACACGAAGTTATTACGCCTAGCCTTGAGGCCAACCCCATTCGAAGACGTTGAAGAGCTCAAGGCAGGTTTTCTTCTCGCGGTGAGCCACTAGAAAACAAGAGATTTCATGGGGATTTCGCCAAAGAACATGTGGACTTTAAGTATCAAACATATGGATTTGAAATGATTTGAGCAATTTATTTGTTGATAATTGGGGTTGCCCAAAAGATGGGGGATGATGTACTCTCGCCCAATGTCTTGGGCAGATTTTCTCAACCATCCAATTGGGGGGTATGCAATGGGCAGACAAAGCCAATTGGACAAAAAATCCAGATCATTATGGGATGAATTTTGGACTTCGCCAGAAACTGGTTGCTGTCCTGATTCCTTTTTCCATTATCATGATGCAACATCACATTTTCGCAGTGTTGTGGAGTTCTCTGTTACATCCATTTCTTATTTTGCAAGTTGCAGACTGCACAAACAAACACTGACTCATATAAATGGTTACTAGAAAAACATGTTCAACCAGCAAAAATGCATGGTTAGTACTAAAATGCGTATAGCAACCCTGAATGTGTTTTCAGCATGGTATATATATATGTATATGTATATATGGATATAGATGATAATTACATATAAGTACCTCATATCCGCAGGTTTCCCAACCTTTCCACCTAATTGGGATAATCATAGATAATGTAGTAAACCCTGGCTGCCATAAACAATCCCTTGAATGCTAGGTTTATGGCAGCCAGGCTTTCCCACATTCGATGATATTTGATATCTAGATTTTGTTTGCAACAATATATATATATATAATATAATATAATAATAATAATTTTAATAATAGTAATAATAATTTTAATAATAATAATAATTTTAATAATAATAATAATTTTAATAATAATAAAAGTAAGATATATTGATATATGTATATATATATAATATATATATATATATGTACAATATATATATATATAGATATACACATCAATATATCATCTATGGGCTTGTGATATTCCCATCTTTCACAGTATTCCATTGGCATCATCCCAAAATAGCCATCCCCTGAGGCTTCCTTCCAGCTACGGGCGAAGCGGGGGCCCAAAGGATGACCGGCCAGGTCACCAGCAAGAGCCAACAAAAACGTAAAGATGATGATATAATGTATATATATATGTTTGTATATGTTTGTATATGTGTATATAGATGTATGATATGTATGTATATATATATATATATGTATGTGTATATATATAATATAGAGATAAATTTAGATGCTGCATGACTTAAAGCTCAGCCCTGAGGCTTTGGCGAGGCATCGATGCATGGGAAGAGTCAGGGGCCAAGCAGAAACTGGGTGACGACCGCAGCCGAGAAGTGGCGTGTAGTTTAGTCATGTTTGTCTGAAATCAGAAGTGGGACATAGTGGGACTACTTCAAAGTAGGATCATCCCATTTGTTCCATGGTTTTCGCTGTTGTTGCTGATCAAAAACAGGGTGGAATGGGTGGACGTTAAGCCTTGGATTGAGGCTTAGTTCTGAGTGGAACAACTGCAGCTTTGGCACGGTGGATGTGGATACCATCACCAAGAAGGTGGCTGAGTACAACAAGGCGCTCACCGGGCCGAGAACATGATAGATGGATCACCAGGCCGATCATATTAGTTGAAACCGACATGTTTCATGATAACGTGGCGATGATTGGTGGTCTCCCTATTAAACATCTAAAGTTCTAAAACACCCACACTTTATCTATTGACAAAGAAGGGGTTTGCAGGGGGTTCACCCCATCACCCCAGTATTTCAGCATCCCAGCCACAGGTGGCGGTGCAGTCCGTGAAAGCCATGCCAGAGAACCAAGTGCCACAGATCTGGGGCGAGTCGGTGACGCAGTTTGGCACCCCAGATGCCGCAGATCTGGGCCAAGTTTGGGATGGGACCCCCCTTGAAACATTTGGTGATAAAAACCTGGGGAAAAACAACAACTGGGCTTGAGATACCCCAAAAAGACCCAAAGATGTGGGTATGAAACCAACCATTTTATGCCGAAAGTTTGTGGGATATACACAGATGGATATGATGGCAGGTAGAAGCAGCAGTGATATGATACTGCATGAATTTGGACCCCAACATGGGGTACTGTACTCCAATTCCAACGGATTATCATCATTTAGTATCATTTTTCCCGTCAAACGGTGGCCGCAAAGACTGGGATATGAAGATGAAAGCACTACTGTGACTGGGATTCCATCATGAGGTCTTTGCTTCCGAAGTTAGTTGCGCTTCGCAATCTGATTTTTTCTGCATCCCAAATCCTCATCCTTCAGCTGTATCCCTATGGTTGGTGATATTCTTAGTGATCTCCTAGCACTTGCTGCCCCGAGACTTCCTGCGTCGCAAGGTTCAAGAACACGCTGCCGGTGGTGGTCGCCCTGCGAAACAAAGCTTTGAAGTTGGATGCCCCAGTGGTGATCCTCCAGTGGATCGAAAAACCTGGCGAAATCGCAGAAATCCCAGCACTTTCGAATGGGAACATCATGGGAAAATCATATGAATGGATGGACATGGATGGACATGGATGGACATGGCGAAATTCCTGGAGGCTACACAGCAAGAAACAGTTGGGGCTTGAAGATCTTAAAAGCTCTCAAGTACTTGGAGGACCAAGTTTTGGCGTGCACCCCTAGAAACGGCGATCAAGTCCTACGAACTCGGGTCCGTCCTGTAGCTTTTCAACTTTTGTCAATGAAGCAATGACCAACATTTCGCAGAAAACCCTGCATCGTTGGATTCTCGAAAAACCCTGCAGGCCACGGCATTGGGAGATGATCACCTCCATGATAGGTGCGCCGCTCGCGAAGATAGCGAAGGGGCAACGGCCGGGGCATCGATGCAGTGGATTTCTCCATCGAAAAATGGGGATACGAAATGATAAGAATGGGAGAATTCGGAGAATTCGGAGAATGGCTATGTGTGGCTATCTATGGCTATCTATGGCTATCTGACTTTCATAACTTGCTGGGTTTCGAGTTGCTGTCGCAGACCTGGGATGAATTTAGAAGTGACAGCCATTTGCTTGATCAAATGTTTCCAACGACAGTTCGGTCGTGCTGCATCTCGATTTCTGAGTTTCTAGATCAGTGTGGAAATCCACCCCGTTTTGGGATGATCATCAGTAATTCGATGCAGCTGATTTAACTGTGTGACACCATTTTTTTCGCTTTTGAGAAGCCATGGAGCATTCGCTGTTCTTTCGCGTTGCCGGCGTTGCCCTGCTGTGGTCCTTGGGGGAGGCTTGCACCATCATTGCCGTTGGCAAAGATGCGAGTGCCACAGGGTATCCCATGGTGTCGCACAGCGACGACAGTGGCCCCAGCACCACAGACGTCCGGCTGGTGAGAGTCCCACGACGCAAGTGGCCCAAGGGGTCAAAACGCAAGCTCTACGAATGGCGGATCCCATACCCAAGGACTGATTGGATGGATTGTTTGATTGTTTATGATTGTTTGGCCGAAACATCAGCCTGGGCGGGATCGTGTGATAGTGACCCAGACCCATCTATTATTATATGATATGCTTGTTATTATTGTTATAGTCATTATTGTTAGTCCTATGATTTTCTATTATTACTATCATGGCGACTATGATTATTACTATTCTTGCTATTCTTCCTATTATAAAGATCTATTTTTATAGACGATGCAGACATATTTTGGGCCATGGTTTTCACCGACCAAACGAAGTCTCCGGGTCCAGGATGGTGAGTCTTGACATGGCTCCAGAGTATCACCCACAGCCGGGACAGGTGGAGTTTGAGGCGATTGGTGAGATCCCTCAGGTGGAGGAAACCTGGGCCTACTGGGACACCGAGTCTTGGTTTCCGGTGAAGATTTTAGGTCTGAACATCAGATGGCTAATGGTTAGCAATGGTTAGCAATGGTTAACAATGGTAGATATTTGGAAATCCCATCCCCCATTCATATTAAACACCACCATCTTTTGGGAATATTTAACCCTCCAGTGAATCAACAGTTCGACCTTGGCATGAGTCGGGGTTTGGAAGAGTAGCCCCCAAACAATTTGGTGATTTTCTGGGCCTATGTTAATTTACCAGACATTTTTTGAATTAAGGGTTAACAATGGTTAATAGTAAGTAATTACCATATATTGTTATGAATCTCATCCCCCAATCATATGAAAAATGTAGGGTTAACCGTCAACAATTAGGGGACACTGTAACTATGCTTGATAATGGAAACAATGGTTAATAGTTGGTTAGTACTCCCATCCCCAGATTAAACACCCCGATTCCATGGTCCTATGTGATTTCATTCCCTACCCATTGGGAGTTCACTTGGACCAAGGAGTACGGCATGCAAAACGAATGGGGCTTGTCTATTGGAGAATCCACCGCCACTGCCATGACGGCTGGCTGGGCGGCCACGAAAGACAAACCCTGGGGCAAAAATCGGGTGGGCATTGAAGATCTCACCAAGCTGGCGTTGGAACGCTGCAAAACCGCCAGATGTGCCGTGCAGACTATGGGAGATATTGCTGTGCAGGAAGGCTTCTATAGTGCTGATACAGGAAATCCAAGTGCGCCTGCATTGAGTGGAAGCTCAGAAGCACTGGTCGTAGTGGATCCTGAGCCTGGTGACATGTGGGTCTTCAATGTCTTGACTGGAAAGGGCAATGCCAGTGCCATCTGGGCTGCTCAGAGGTTGCCCAGCGACCATGTGGCAGCAGTGGGGAATTCCTTCACCATTCGAAGCTTGGATCTGAAGGATCCAGAAAACAACTTGTTCAGTCCAGGTGTCACTGAATTGGCACAGGAAATGGGCTGGTGGCATCCATCTAACGCCAAGTTCCCCGGCGACTTCGATTTTTTTGGCGCCTACGGTTACCAGCCCAGCCGCGAAAACACCCCTGCGGAACAGATCGAGAGTATGAGCCACCTCTTGGCCTACTACAGCGGCCGGCGCATGTGGCGCATCTTCAGCCTCTTGAGCCCAGCTGAGGGAGCCAAACTGAACCCGGACCTGGGAAATCTGCCCAGGCGCGGGCGTCATCTGGCGACTTTTTTGGGCAAACATGACTGGGAAATCACCCATGGGCAGTGAAAATGGGATAACCAGCCATTGCCATGTTGATTGCCAGAGGAAAAATGCGGGTTTTTGAATGCTTTTGATGTGAAAACACAGGAAAACCCATCCCTTGTAGGAGGCTTTTCCAGCCAGGTTCACCGGAGGATCCATGTTACCCATGACATGGCCGCAGGACCGAAGATCCATACCCACCTTCGGTGAAAGCACCGAAGCACTCCGTGACCCGTGAAATGGTGATGCAAACCTTGAGAGATCACTATGAGGGCACAGCATATGATTTGACCAAAGGTATGGCTGCTGGGCCCTACGGCAACCCAAATCGGGGTCCCATCAAAGGCGTTACAGGGCAGTGGGAGAGGGCCATCTCCATGTTCCGCACGGCCTATTCCTATGTGTTGCTGGGTGAAAAATATGCCGGCATCCCCATTTGGTCAGATCTGCGGATGAAAACCTACTTGGAACTCTCAAGAGTGGGTTTGGAAGAGAATTGCCTTATTGGAAAATTGCAACTGTCAGGTTCGTGTCGGGTGTATCCCAGTGTATCCAGGTGGGTTGAATTGATTGTACCAATTTACTCAGGTAGTTTGGGATGGTTTGGAACATTTTGCCGGGCTTCTACCCTCTCACAATCTAACATTGCTATGAAACATTGCCCATTTATAGATGATTTACATTGATTTACCTGTTCAAAAGGGTCCATTTTCTATAGCTGTGTTAGTCAACTGGAGGGTATTCAACCAATTTTTCTTGCTGCCCCTGTGACAATACGCGAGGCTTGAAGCCCGACCGGCTTCCCGCAGTATCACCTGGTTCGGCTACGACGCGGCGCACGGCACGGTCTGGATGCCTTTCTATGGTGCATCCGTGGGACCTGCGCCAAAGACACATGCAGGGCACGGCTTGAATATGTCCACCTTCAACCAAAATGCTGGCTGGTGGGCTTTTAACCTCATCAATCAATATTCGGATCTGAACTTCCAACAAATCAACCAGGAGGTTCGGGGCAAGGCAGAGATGATCCATCAAGAGGCCGTGAAAGCGGTGAAGGAGTGGGAAACCATGGATTTAGCTGAAGTGGAGAAGCATTCAAATGCCTTTGCAGTGAAGAAGGTGGACGAGTGGTGGGCATTTGCATGGCAACTGATCGCCAAATATGGTCGTTTAGTGACCACCTTCAATGAATCCAACACCGGTGTGGATTACTATGGCCAGATGTATCCCGGGTGGTGGCTGGAAAGCCCCGATGTGGGTTTCACCCTTTGGTCACCTCCGGGACCGTTTCATGGCATCCCTGACGGCTCCAAATGCCCCAAGTTGCTCTCCCTGGCAGCTTCTGACTGGTCCGACTGGTCCCAATGGTCCCAGTGGTCCCAATGGGCAGCGTGGCTGCCCACATTTTTCGCCCTGGGGGGAGCCTACGTCCTGGGCAAACGCCACGGACGTGCTCTTCCAGAGCCACAGGACCATGGTTATGTCATGGCACCTTGAGGTCCAGGGCGATCCTTTTGCTATCTCCAAGATGAGAAACCTAAGACTTGAGAAACAGCTGCAACCTACGAATTGCTGGATGACTCTTGATGAAAAGATGCTGGCTTTTGCCTTTTTGCTCACCTTTCCTGTTGAGAGGATTCTAAAGTGTCATATTTATCTCAGCTTAGAAAATGGCTGTTATGGCTCAAAAATTGAAGATGCAGGGGACCACAGATTCACCATCCAAGTCTGGGGTACCATCCCGGAAGGTCAAGAGTTGGATTTGGAGGACGAAGAGTGTGGCACCTCAGAGGTATTTGTAATCGCTTGGCTGGCAAGGCTGGCCCTTGAAAGTGACCAACGATTCCCAGTCGCAATGCAAATGTGGCCCAGTGGAATTGCTGTTTTTAAGTCTGGCTTAGCGTCACGAATCGTCTTCGATGTCTTCGTCCCAAGGTTTACTCTGGGTGCTTTGTTGGCCATGGGCTCGGGGCCCCGGAGCGTTGAAACCCTTGGAACAAAAAAACCTTGTGAGCAGTGGCTGCTAGACTCCTATTGGTTGATGAAAAACAGAAGATTGTACTACCCAATGCAGGGATGATCATGGTCCACTATAGTAATTCTTATACACCAAGCAGTATGGAGCGACAGAGGTTTTTTTGAACACTGCGCAATTGAAAATGGGTATGTCAAGTATGTCCGCAGAATTCTTGGAGAAATTGTAGTGAGAGTTTCTTTGAAATTTGACTATTTGGAAGGAGTTCAACTGAGTTCAACACATCACCGTAGCACAGATCTCAGGTGTTGACCAACACATGGAAGCCATCATGGACGTGTCTGGCAAGGTGGGAAGACTGGGTGAACAGATGTGAACAGCCATTCGCTTGGGCCCCCTCTGGGGCATTCGTTGGTCATGCAGATAATATCGGATCAGCGGGTACAGCTGGGTATTCATCATCTACTTGGAGGATTCTCCACATCTCACCGCGCGGTGATGTATCGTATGAGATATCCAACCACTTAGTAAAAACCCATTGAACCACAATGAACAACCATCATTAAAGATCATTGAAGCCATTAAAGCTCCTGGTGGAAAATCATGTCATATGCCAGTTATATTAAACCCATCATTAAACCATCATTAAACCCATCATGAAACCCATCATGAAACCATCATTAAACCCATGGGTATCATGAAACCCATTAAAATCATGTCACCGCCGGTTTCATCTTCCGCTTCCCAGGCAACAGCAGAGCAAGGCTTAGAGGAGATGTTGGACAAGGTCAAAAAGCTGGAAGTCCCAAGCGCTGAAGTCGCCACGGGGCTTGGGAGTCAGTGGGCCCTTTGAACACCCCCACAACGATTAATAAACATGATGGTAACATCTTTAGGGGCTTAAGGGCCCAGACGACTCACAAAAAAATGACTGATTTCAGTTTCGTGACATTATTTGAACTCATCCAGATAATTTTTTGGAATGGGTGGCAGCACCAATCCCCCAAATGCTAGATTTGTTGTTGGGTGTACCGTACCATCAATCACCTAATCCGAATCCAACTGGCGTGTGGAGTTCACTATATGGGTCTGAACATGCTTAGTATACCTCCAGTGATAGCCATTGAATGGGGAAACATTTGCGAAATGTTTAGTATACCTCCAGTTTCCCCATATACATCCAGTTTCTAAATGTTATACATCACAGTTCCAGCGATTGACATCAAATTGCGGGTGTCAATTCATTTGGAACTTTTCCATAGATCATTTTCAGTGAGCCCCGTTGACCCAACTTGATCGACAGTTGTGACGTTGGTTCCAAATTACCCAGGGAACCCCGCAGATTTGGGGGCGGTCTTAGTCTGGGAAGCAGAAGAGATAGACAAGTCTTTCCAGGATGTAGATGATTGGTTTATAGCTAGAAAGACTCATGATATTTTCATGACTAGGCTTATCTACAACATGTAGGTTTTCGCAGTTAATGATCCATGATATTTCCATAATATCCCAGCAGTTGATGAGGACTTGGGAAGATTTGGAGCTTATCATCAACCCCTACAAGGCCGGGCACTGCCGGGCATGTTGCGGGTTTCTTTGGTGGGGAGGTTAGTTTCTCTTGGTTCGATTTTTGATCCATTTTTTTGAATTTTGAATTGGTTTGAGTTTTGACCCACTGCAGATTTTTTTAACCAGTTGAACCATCTATAAACTTGGACATTGGGTTGGCTTGGATGGAATTAGCCAGTGGGACTCAACCTTATACCTATATATGGAAATCGGAAATTGGATGAGATATGGGTTATATATATATACATTATTGTATATATATATATTATATGTATGTATTTATATGTAGCGAAAGGAATTGAGCACACAACTAGTTCCAAATGGGTGTAACCCTCATACCTGGAAATAGGCTTCAGAGTTTTCCTTCTGCCTTCTTTTATTTTTGGATCGCATGAATAATATACCCTCTGGTACTTCAAGATAGCCATAGAAAATGGTCAACTTATAGATGCATTACCTCTCAAATCCTCTCAAAAAAGGTGATTCTTTTCCACTTCAACATGTCCAAATACCAGAGGGTACGTGTTCAGGTTTCAGGCATTTCCCACACTGAAAACACCATACCCTCTGGTAATTTAACATAGCTATTGAAAATGGCCATTTATAGTGGATTTACCCATTAAAAATGGTGATTTTCCATAGTTACGTTAGTTTACCAGAGGGTAGCTTAAAACCCTATCCTAACATGAAAAAGCGCAGACATCACCTTTTTCGGTGCAGCGCAGGACAGCAAAGATGTCTTTGTTCTGGGCTCCATCGAAGACATCACCGTCGCCTTGGAAGATTCCTTGGTCACCATTTCGACCATTGCGACTCGCCAAATGTCCGATTTGGGGTTGGTAAATGTCCGATTTTTAACATCACCCAACTCAAAAAAAGGGAGTAATATGATGTAGTCTCCACATAAATTTGAATTCTTTGAAAGTGATATTCAACCACTGCTTACCATTTACATAATGTTTTTGTTGTCTCAGTGATTTGTGGTATCCTAGATCTGGAAAGCACTCAGGTCAGAGGTCAATTTTTCCATGGAACTCCCCATGGATTTAGTACTCAAGATGCAACTTTTTTGGTCGGTCCGTTGGTCATCTTTGACCCATGTCCAATTCATCGGACTTCGGGACAGTCCTCCACACCTCCCAGCGACATCCGGAAAAAGGTGGACTGGGCTGTACGGCTATGGGTCCATAGCCACAGAATAGCAGCTATTTTGGTCGATCATGAAGCCAGGGTCAAAACCCAGATCCATTTCATATGGGTCTGTCCCAAAAGTAGGAACAACTAAATCTAATGGTTCATAAATATTTTCCCTTGAACATGCCATGGTGATCCATTGTGGGGCATCCGGGATAGCTTTTCCTTGCTCTGTAACAGTGAGTAAAAGGTTTTCTTACTAAACAGACCCCCAAATGGTGCACCATTAAATCTTTTTGTTCATACAAGGATTACTGCAGTTTGGGAACACGTAGGAAACTTTGGACTACAAAGCCCGTCCATCCAGCTCAACTGTAGTAATTTCTGGTTGTCACACATCACACATCACAATTTCAAGATGTGCGCTTTTCTTGGCTCAGCGCCGCAAATTTTTCATTTGCTTGCGCCAACCTCTGGATTGGCATAGAAAAAAGATCTAAATCCATCGTGCCCCAAATGGTGCTCTGCAATTTTACAAGGAAAAACCACAATTTCTAGCACCATTTTTTGCTCCGGAAAAACGTTTTTTTTGCATTTCCTCATGTGGCACCATGGCATGATTAGTTTATTTCTTCGTGCACCAAATCATGCCTAAAATCGTGCTACTGTAACAGAGCACGGTAAAGTCACACTTGTCCCATATGGCTTGAGGTAAAGCCACAAGGCCCGTGGTTTCCTGTCTTCCCCGCGGTGCAAGGCTGGAAGTCGATATGTAGGCCCTATTCGAGCAGAGGCGCAGCCAATTTTTCTGGACCAAACTGAACATATTAGCAGCGCAATTAGCGCAGCCTGAGAATTTAGCAGGTCAATATTTTCAATGTCGGTTATTGGCTTGGCCTGATTTCTTGGTCATGGTTAGTTGCGATTTTGTCGGGATGAATGCAGTCCAATATGGGAAGCCTTGTGAAGCAGCGGGCAGACGAGACCTCCATGCCATGGCGCCATTCGCCAGGTGGAACAATGGCAAAAGGATCTGCTGCTTTTCCAGGACCCGGAGCTAGTGGCCATCAAAAGATGGGCACATTTATGGCACATTTTCAGCTGAATCCATATCACCAATTGCTGGGGTTGGAACTGGTATGTCAATGTGAACACTTGAAAGTGAAAGAACTTCCGGTCAGCCATCATCGTGCATTTTTTTTTCGTAAGGTAGCTGGCTCAAAGGTGGCTTGTAGAATCCCATGGCTGCCGAACTTCACCCACCATAGGAGACGCTGGATGAATGGCTAAACGTTCAACGGAATTGGATGTATTTGGAGCTCCTCGGGCAGCAAGATCAACCAGATGGGTTGCGGAACAGTGGTGAATCCCGGCGAAGTTCGTCAGAAAAACGAGACACCGATCACCCAGATGTTGTTGTTGTTGTCGTGGTTGTTGTTGTTGTTGTTGTTGCTGAGTATATCAGAATCTACCATGGATGGTTTGAGTGTTCAACTCTCAAATAAACTATTGATGGTCAGATGCCAAATTCAACTAGTGAAGCTCCCAACATACGATCGCATGCATACATGAAACATTAACAGATATATCAAAAATCAACCACTGATCTCGTCAGGGTTATGTCCCCAGCTATTTCTTGATGCTTCCAACTCCAAGTAGACTAGTGAGGGTTCTATCATCCCTTTCAATATGGGTATGGATCAATACCTATTAATACCATTTTTAGTGGGATGAACATCCATTTACCAGCTATTTTGATGTTCACCAGGGCTACATGGTTTTGACCCATTCCCATATGGGAGGCCCGCAGAAATTCTGGTTTACCAGGGGATTTACACATATTTGGGATCTCATTCCGTGGGGGTGTTCAACAGGATGGGATCATCAGCGGAGCACCAGCCAGGTCCATTTTCAACGCAGGGGACATCAAGAAGCAGCTGCCAGGGGAAAGCGCCAAGTTCCAAGAGATTGTGTCTCGGCAGCGTTGGATTTGGATGGATTTGGTGGACATGGAGCTGTTTGTTGCGGATGACATGATCGCTTTTGCATGTGTTATTTCTATTTTTTGAACTGGATGTTTGTATCAATCTCAAACTTAGACATCCACATTTTATCGGAACTGTTTTGCTTTTCATTTTTTCCATCTTTCTATGGGTCAGGGATGATGCATCCTCCGGTGGCCAAGGATGTACAATGGCGGCAGATCATGAAGGACCGGGACCTCCTAGTCGCAAGCAACATCCATTAGTCATCCAGAAGCCAAGACTTCTCCGGGAATCGAGGAGTAAATAGTGAAATCAACAGGACCCCATTTTTCAGGTTTCATGTCTGATTTAAGGGGTGTACTGTTCCAACGGCAACAGTGCAGAAACCGAGAGGGATACCACTGATGGGTGGTTTGTTGGGTTCTGTTGGATTAAATCCCAGGCGTTTGCTGGTTTCATCTTCAAATCACAGTTCTTGATGCTTACCCTCTGGTAAACTAACATAACTATGGAAAATCACAATTTTCAATGGGAAAATCCACTATAAATGGTGATTTTCAATAGCTATGTTAAATTACCAGAGGGTAAATCATCTTAAATCCCAGTTGCCTAAGATGATTGATGTTGCTTAAGATCATTTATAACACCACTACTCTGAGTACATCCCAATTTTTGGTTGAACTCATCAGGTCCATGGTCCATGGTCCATGCCAGGAGACCTACGAATACGCCGTGGCTCTAAAGGCGGCCACGAAGCCAGGCCGATTGGAGCTCTTCAAGGCAGCCAATTTCGCGGTCGCGATATTGAGTCCCCCACTCCTAAGTTGAAAGGTTTACATCAGTTGACATCCATATATTATATATATACACACATAGTTATCTATATCATCTGATCTATAGTTATCTATGGTTATCGATATTATCTATTATGTATCTACTGAATCTCATCTGTAGTATCGTTATCTGTGGTTGATCTTAATTCTTTCATCTGTAAACGGCCATTCTTCGCGAAGCTTCGGGCCTGCTCCTTGGCCTAACTTTGGCGAAACTTTCGCAAGTATCATTATACATATATATATATATCATTATACATATATATATATCATTATACATATATATATATATATCATTATACACATATATATATATATATCATTATACATATTTATATATATATATATATACATATATATATCATTATACATATATATATATATCATTATACATATATATATATATCATTATACATATACACACATATATATATATTATTATACTATACACATATATATATATAGATTATACGGCATCTATATCCGTTTCTATACAAAACCAACCAACGTTGATTACAACAAAATCATATGGTTGACGTTTAACCAACATTGTTCCCCCGGCCGCAGAAAGCCAGCGAGACTTTGGACCAGATTCAGAAGCAGCTAGAGGAGCTGGGACCCGAAAAGCCACGGGGACGATAGCGGGAATTTGAAGGGACCGGAAGACATGGAGATGGGGTGTTCATCAATGATTATTTATATTATAGTTATCGTGACAACTATAGTTACAATACCCAAAAGCTCCATGTATGGAATGTTTACCAACATTTGCCCTAAAAATCACCCAGTCTTGTAGGTAAATATACCAGCACCATGGAGCATATGGGATATATTCAGATGATGGGGTGCTCACCAGTTATTATATATAATGATAATATTATAATTATTAGAATTATCGTAACAACTATAGTTACGATATAATAAAATGAACAATCATCACCAGGCAAGATCGGTGGAAGTTTGGGAGGACTATCTGCTCTCCAAGTGTGTAGCCTTCCCACGTTTCTTCTTCCTCTCCAATGCAGGGAGACTCAGGAAACACCATCCGTGAGAGCGGTAGGTATTATATGGTTAATGTCAACCCCGGATTAATAACCCATGGTTTATGAATTATGGGGATACCTCCAGATAGTGATACTCTGAAAGTCAAATGTTTTTTTTTTTTTTTAACCCCTAATAAAAGACAGCCGTTTGGGGTCTATTAGTCCAGGCTTGACATTATCTCATGTATCTCATTCAGACCTTGGATGCGGATGGATGTGAAACTTTGATTGTCAAGTTTTGAAGGGGCTTTCCGGAGCCAGAGCCGACCACCAAAGGAGACCATCCAGCCTTTGATAACTTATAGAAGTGTGAGACCCACAAACAAATCCCAGAAATCCCACAATTCCATAGGATATTTCTATTTTTTGCCAAAGCCTACTTTGCAGTTATCCTCCAATAAACAAACGCAGACGTGGAGAATTCACCATTGGTACATATATTTTTTCCATTGTAGGGAAAACCATGGACTTCACTTTCATAATTTTCCATATCTTTTTGTGTAAGTTGACCACATGAGCAAACATTCCAAGCAGTTGTTGCTTGATGATGGGAGTTCACTTTTACCCTTCAAACATATTGGAAGCTTGGTCGTTTCAAACATTTTTTTATTTAGAACCATAGAAATCGGATCGTGATCCCCTTGACTCGCGTCATATTTTTGGAATGGGTTGAATGGGTTGAAACCTTCAAACATATCATCCCCAACCTTGGATGGCTAGTTTTAATCCAGGTGTTTGTGCTATAAATGGAACATCACCATAAACAGCAACATATTACTTTTTTGTGGACTCCCAAAGATCTTGGGGATGATTTTCAGCTCATCGGCTCGATTTCTATCTGCTGTGGATCCCATGTCCTTCGTGGAGTACCTCTCGCGCAAGAGCCTGGCGGCTCAGCAGCGACGTGCTGAGCAGCTGGTGTTGCGAAGGGCGGAAGCGGAAGCGAAATGTCAGCAGTGGCTGGAAGAGCAGATCAAAAGATTCAAGGCCCGGGCGCCAATGCCATAATGTCGAGATTGAAGTCCAAAATCCATAGGGTGAAATCGATGGGGATTTCACCATGAGGATCATGGATGATCATGGATGGTAAACCCAATGTCATAAACCATCCCAAACTTGAGGTTTATGAATTTGGGTATACTGCATATACCCCAAACGCAATGGGATAATGTAAAATGACCCCCAGATGTGTTTTTTTTTTAAATAAGGGGTGTTTTTTTTTTTAAATAATGGATGGGTTACTATTGGGGTTTACCACATTAATGGGGAATAAAGAGGTACTGCGTGTATTTGCTGTATGACGAGGTATATGTATGTGTCATTTCTATCATTATGTCTATTTGGGAGGTTGGAAAACATTTCAGAAGTGCATTCCAAGATGAAGTCTCTTCAAAGTGACATAAAGATTTGTTCGGAGACTCTGTGTGTGGAACTTTTGCAGATGGCCAGCTTAGTCCGTCCTGAAGTGCCACAGCCTGAGGTTGGAGTAGAGATAGCTTCCTGCAACACATGGATTAACATGCTTCCAAAGACCTCGAATTCGGACGGATTCTTGCAGATGTTCATAGCACCAAGTACTGTGAGGGTTGGTTCATCAACCTCCTATTACAGATTCTTTGCATTGGGTATGATTGAAAGCGGACTGTGAGCATCAGGAGCATTGTATCGAGCAGAGCGAACATGGCAAGAACAGCGGGAAGATGGTTCTCTCCGACATCAAGTGGCCAAAAGGAAAGAAAGATGAATGCAGCTTAGCTGAAAGAGTCCATTCTTGCCGTCCACTTGTTGGGTCTGAGACCTATAGAAATAGCCCAGCCATGGGCAGTGATGCTGAAAGATCTTTCACCTGAGATCCAATGCCAGGCTTTGAGCTTTTGAAGCAAGAATTGCAAAAGTTGGGATTCGAGAAGGCAGGGATGCTGGGATGCTGAGAAATCAGCTGACGTTTTCAGGGCTTATTGAAGGACTTCTGAACGGAGATCCCTCCAAATTCCTCAGCAGCATTTTGGCCTTCGGCACTTTGGAAAGGTGGAATGAGTGGAATGCACGGGATGGTTGTTGAGCAGCGATTTGTTCCACCTGGAACTTCGAAGTGCAGTGGAGATATTTCATCATGGCCAGCCGCGCCAACAAACCAGCCAACAAACCATCCCCATTTCAACCTGGCGCTGGCCAGGTTGAAATCAAATGCGCACTGGTGGACAAATGGCGGGGTTCGGGAGCCTTCTCAGGACTCATGTGGCTTGGGAGCAGTAAAATCGGGGGGGATCTCGGGATCGACCTCCATGCTATCACGAGGATTTTCCAGCCACATTTGATGACACTAGAGGGTGTTATATATATAATATGTATATATATATATGTATATATATATATGTATATGTATATATGTATATATATATATGAATGATTATGTATAAATCTATATAATAACCATCATCAACCTAATCTTGGGGTTCTTCAGTCTTGACCCATTCTCACATCACAACCAGCAGTCTGGGGCGCCACAAGGTTCGTTTCCGAGCCCACAATCCATGCGTCATGGAAGCTGCTGCCGAATGAGTGCATCGAGGAAGAACCTCAGGCAGGACATTTGGACGTTGCGATGTGGAATCTCCCATGGTCCTTTTGAAATTGGATTCTGGAGGTCTGGTGACATTTTGGACGGCGGTTTCGGCGTTTTTTCGATATGTTCAAAACCATGCTTTTGGAATGGCCAAGCTTTCTTTCTGTTGCCAAAACGCTTTTCTTCAGGGTCTCGGCCTCGGCCCAGATCATATCGGTTCTGTGTGGCTTCCGTAGTGCAGCTTCCGGCGTTACTCTGGAAGTTTGGGTCTGGGTTTCGGTATGGGTTCCTGTTGGAATTAGATGCTCACTGGTTGCTGTCACACTCTCCTACCACCTTTGTGATTGAATCTAGATCGACACCAAAAACTCTGATGTAAGTCACTGGGTGGCTTGCTGGGCAGGTCACTGGGGGCATGATCGATACCTGCGCAATTTGCGCTGAAGTGCGACCACTGGTGGTGTTAGTTCCTTGCACCTTGGATTGAATCCAACAAAGAAGGGACATGTGGAAGACTGCAGCATAAAAAGCAGTGGTTCCGCATTTCAAATAGCGGCTACAGTTTTGCAAATGACCTGTGCATTTGCACCAGATCATGTGCTTGCTGTCTCATGATCACAAATCCCTTCCTCATATAAAACCCAATACGGCCCTCTATGAATAGATCCACTACTGAACCAGGGTTTGGTTTGCTTTCTCAGAGATGCTCTGAGGTGGCCACGTGGTGTGCGCCGATTGTCACTCGAAACGGATCACCCAACGCTGCCCCTTTTGCCGGAACGTGGTCCGTTGCACGACTCAGGGCCTGTTTTTCTCGTAGCCTAACGAGGGCCACTTGTCGCACCATGGTCGCTGAAGCTGTAAACCATCCAAAGGGTCACTGCCATGAGAGAGCCAATATCCCAGAATGATTTGGATAAATGATAGTTGATATACGTTTGATATGATAATGTAATAATGTAATATTATAATGTACAGATGTTCGGGAAGACATCAAGCAGGTCCAAAAAAATCTGGTTTGAGAACAAGTTGCAGCAAGTTTGCGGACACTTGTCTTCAACTCAAACTTTTTTGAGAGCAGTGTGGCACTGCCCATTGCACGAAAGTGGCGCTTCCTGAGTCACTTGCCTAGTGACTGGAGCGGTTCACTACTGGTACCCTCGATGGTGCCGTGACGTGATGGTGTGGACACGGAGTCGGTGACAAGTTGATGGCGATGGTCACATCGTTATTTTGCCTGTGCTCTGTGTCGGTTGTATCATGCTGCACCAAGAATCGGATCCAGCCACACTATCACATTAATTCGCTGGAATTTGCCTGCAACTTTGGTCATCGGGAAGCTAATCTCTTTGAGGCCCAGATGACACCACCGCAATTCATTGGAAGCCAGCCGTACAGACCCTTCACGATTTGCTGGAATCACTATAAAGGGCGAGTTCTTGTTTGTTGGTAACTTGCCAACAGATTCCCGGTCTTGAAGGGTAGCTGGCCAAGATGGTTTGCGGATTGCAGAGGTTGTACATACTTCTGGAAATTGGGGTCCCTTTCCAGGACTTTCCGGAAGGGGGTTGGGGACCCCAGGGTTCAGAAACTCTGCAAAAGAGGGGCTTTAAGCCGAAGCGACCGACTCAAGAGCGAGCGGTTGCACATTTTTCATCGGTCTGAGCGACCGCCTCAAACAACTCGAGCTGTTTGGGGCAGCGCGGCTGCACAGTTTACCACAGAGATGTACCAGGGCTTTACAAACTTCGGGTGTTAGGATCCCCTAAAAATCCTAAAACAATCGTCCAACAATAGATGAATATCATCGAATGAATTCATCATAATTCATCACCTATAAAAAATCGACTCGCACTGACTCCTGGTTTCCATGGGAACGTCAGGTTTTAAGCAGCCCTGTAGCATCAGTTGTTGCCAACGTGAGCGAACTTGGACCGAGCCAAAACGAACCGTCTGCAGGAAGCATTAAGAATGACCACAGCTATATGG